TGTGTGTGTGTGTGTGTGTGTGTGTGTGTGTGTGTGTGTGTGTGTGTGCGTATGCGTGTGTATTGTGTGTGTGTGAGAGAGAGTCCAAAACCTCAAAATGCCCACCCTCACGAAGGACCACCGACGTTGAAATTTCAATGACGTTGCAATTTCAATGACGTTGCAATTTCAATGACGTTGAAAGTCTCAGGGGGATAAAATGCACCCTTGAAGAGCTGTGAACATTGTAAAGTAGTTTGAATCCCAATGTAAGGCTAATTGTCTACCGGTGGGCGCGGGGAACGCAGCCCTAAGGTAGCTAAGGCAATGTGACTAAAAGCGCGCACAAGAGGTAGAGGTAGAGGTAGAGGTAGAGGTAGAGGTAGAGGTGAGAGAGAGAGAGAGAGAGAGAGAGAGAGAGAGAGAGAGAGAGAGAGAGAGAGAGAGAGAGAGAGAGAGAGAGAGAGAGAGGATTTATTGGTCAGTTAACGCATTCTTAGGAATTTGTTATTCTTCTTCGGTAGGCCCACACATGGCTGAGTGACAAAAATGAAAAATGTGTCGAATCGGCGCGACGATGATTTTACGGTCTAATTCAAAAATGTTCTGATATTTTTCTTGGAAAGAACACGGCCTCATCCATGGATTTTTTTAATTTCAAATTTTAATGTGGATTCCTTCGAGCACAAAAAAATTCAAAGTTGCCTCTTGCAAAATGTCTGTTTCGTTGCGCCCGACCTCCCTGTTTTGAGAAGACGGGCCTCGACGCCTGGGCTTGAAGACTCTTTTGCAGTTCACATGCCTTCACTTCTTTTTGGGGTCCGCTTCCACTCGAGGATCGGTCCTTCCTTTTTTCAAAACTCCCGATTCTATAAGAGTTAACTGTAGGTAGTCTGCAATATCTTGAAGGACCGGTCCCCCGCCGCCAAAAAATGTGACACCTTGACACAAACGTCAAAACCTGCTATACCATAGCCTTAGGGCTGCAAACAAATTCAATTAACATTTGAATCTGGACAGGACGGTCTTTCATGTCATTTTTATTAGGAAAAATTGCACTTGTACCCCTATGCCCAGTCCCAACACCAAACTTGCACCTAGACCCGCCCTGTCCAAATACCCTACTTGGTTGGGGAACATAAAATTATGGCTATGCCTTGGAATTGAGCAGGCAAAATTGGGTATGCATCATTGACTTACCGTGAAGGCACGGGTGCGTAACCCGTAGTTTGTTTGTTGATGGGGTTGGGGAAGGGTAGTAATTTACTGATTATATTGTGAGTATGTTTTGTCATGTTCATTATAAACAACTCAAAGAGTGTGTGTGGGGGGGGGTCGGGCTGGTGCTTTTATTCACGATGTTCATGGGATGCTGGATCATGTTTCCAACAGGTGTCGATCCGCACCAATCGACAAAAGAATGTGTGTCTACGTGTGTCAACTGGTTTATGTGAGTGTGTGTGTGTGTGTGTGTGTATGTGTGTGTATGTGTGTGTGTGTGTGTGTGTGTGTGTGTGTGTGTGTATGTGTGTTTGTGTGTGTGTGTGTGTGTATGTGTGTGTTTGCCAAATTACATCTGTACCCGGTCCCAGAGACCGTTGGTTGGGGAACATAAAATTATGGTTATGCCTTGGAACTGAGCAGGCAAAAATAGGTATGCATTGGCTTACCGTGAAGGCATGGGTGCGCAACCCGTAGTTTGTTTGTTGGTGTGGTTGGGGAAGGGTAG